AAATGTTGTATGAAAATCATATACTTATTTGAGTATGAGATAAGTTGGTTAAAAATTCAATAGAAATCGTGCAAATTATATGGTTAAGTGTGAGTCAGATAAGTCGATGCAAAAATCCAAAGAGATTCTTCAGAAAAGTCGTAGACATTACTGTATACTGTGGTACACACCGCAATACAGTCGCTACCAAAAGGGTGATTTACGGCTTGTTTGCGGGCGTCAATGTAATAATAATACAACTTTTAGACATAATATCAGTGATCTTATCATTGAAGAACACAAATTACTGTTAAATAGAGATGCATGCTGATAAGACTTGTGATGTTGTTGTTATTACTGATAATAGAAGATGAATACATAGAAAGGCGAACACCAGTTACATTTTATATTATCATAAAGCAAGGTATGTGTCAGCTTGAGCATTATATCAAGAATAAATAATTTTTTTAAGAAATTAATATGTTGAGCAGAGATTGATGGGACAGTTAAGAAGTCATTCCATGATCACCTCACCCCAAATGATTTCTTAAAGAGTCCCCTCGTCACTGTTCCATCCCATCAAAATGTAGTTCGATGTGAAATCCCATCGGCAGAATACGACATACCCCACTGTCAATTGACTTTGATTTATTATAAGGATGTTCCTACTGAATAGATTCTTTTAGCATAGACATGTAAAAATGTTGACGCTTTCATCTGCTACTTAATCAAAATTAATTAATTAAGAAGTAATTAGTGACTATCTCTGTAACCATATGAGAAAAAAATCTGAAAATTTCAGGATAGACTCGAGAGATCGGACTCTAAAAATTTTCTTCATAAACACCGGTTCCCCAGAGACTGCATCAAGCTTCATGACAAAAATGTTTGTCTTATCATCATCTCAAAGTTAGCCCTTTGAATTGTCTACAGAATGTACTACGTAGTTTCCAAAAATACTGTCTTAATTCGGAGTTTTTAAAACTAAGCTGCATACTCTCTTAAAAAATATGTACTTCAGGAAGCTCAAAATAGCAAGTAATCATGAATTATTCAAAACTGATTCCGGGGACCCATATAAGGTTTCCGAGCTCATGGAAAATCCAGCATATGATACGGGTATTACATAATTAGAAACCCATTAGAAAATACTATCGAAAGTTCTATTCAACAATTTCATTAGAAATCCAGATCGAGCGATACGATCCGTATAACGGACGCAGAATTACGGACCGTACCATCATTAACGTACAGCCGTATGCGACCCTATTTTAATGATAGTACAATCCGTATTTCTGCGTCCAATATATTGCTTACCATTATCACTTGCATGAGGTAGACCTAAATAAATTAACTAAAGTGTTTATTTAGTCTTTGTATTGTACAACTAATCATTAATATCTTATCGATACGAGGCCGAACTCTAGTGTAGCATCGAATTGTCAGTATAATTTTTCATGTGTTTGTTATTTGAGAAGACTAACTTTTTATTAGAAGAAATGATCAATATAAGAGGAAAAAAACATTTAAGAAAAAAAATGTTTATCAATAAAAAATGGTTATGATTTTATGCGCGATTGTATCTAAAACACTAGTATGAATAAACTCCCTCGATCAATCGAAAACGAACAAGGACGCGAAAGAGAAAGAAATTCGTAGGTTTTTTAGTGAAAAAATACTGTAGAAAGACATCTTTTCACTGGAACAATAGAGAGAGAGAGAGATTGAAAAAGTTGTGTTTGTTTTGCTTGTTGTTTTTTTAATATTTTTCATGGTTTACGAAGGGACAACCGGTGGTTTTTCAGATGGTGAAGTATTGTCGTCATATGCCTGTTCAAGATTGCATAGTTGATCTAATTTTCTTTTACGATTGACTTTTTTAGTAAGATGCGGTACAAATGAAAAGAATCTTTTCACTCCCTCTTTGCTTTAGTCCAATCTTTTCACGGAATTTGAAAACCTACAACTCTCCGGATTTTGACAATTAATCATTTTGGATAACTCTCAATAAGAGAAACTATTGCCATTCTCATACTATCCAACTCTTCAAAATCATATTGACTATTAAATCTGATTGCCCTTTTACTGCAACTTCATAAAAAAACAAGGCAAAACGAAAAGAAAATACATAGACTATGACTTTTATTCATTTTTATGAAAATTGACAGGAGCATGTTTCCAGCTGTCTATTTGTGATTTCCGCAAATTTGGCAATGTAAACATGATGTTAAATTATTTCGAGGGTATCAAACAGTTTTAAATTTCAAGATATATTTATATAAACAATGAATTATTGATAATTGAATACTTTATATAAAATGTATCAATGTTTTTCATTATCTGGAAACCTCCGAAAATTCAGAAAAAACGAAGGTCAAAACAGTATATTCTAATATCGAATATGCTTTTACGAAGAGTTTTTGAATACTCAGATCTTTGTGTGAAAGCCGTTTCGAAGGTTTTCATAACATCGCAAATCAACTAAGGTTTTCCACAATACCTTTTTGAGATTCAGCAAGTTCGGTAACCTAAAGAGTTTCCGATGAAGCACCTGGGAAACCAAAAAGGTACTTTAGAAAATGCTTGTTAGGACAGGAAACCTCGAAGGGTTTTTGGAAGAGTTTCCGAATGCGTTTGGGTTTTGTAGGATACGGATTTTTTTTAGAGAGTAAGGTGAAAATCGATGTCCTTTTTTAAGTCACGTCGCTAACAAATGATTTTACCCATATCTAAGCCGTTCAGCCTGTTCGAAAACGAAGCGTCAAGTGAGTTCTCGTCCTTTGGGAATGGAAATTCAAAGAACGAGAACTCTGATCTTCCTAACTAGATGATATCAATGGGAGATGCTCAATTTGATCGTACAGTCAGGTGTTGAGAGAATCACAAAAGTTCAAATTCATTATACTGGGTTTGGATCATTTTTAGCTATCTTCTAATATTGCGCATTACTGTATAATGCTTTAGATCATTCTCCAATCCTTCATCGATATATTTACAGCATATACTCCAGGTTGTATATAAGCTATTTGTTTTTGCATCTTTTAGATGATAAAATTGTTTAGATGTTTCGGTCAAATTCTATTGCTACTCGTTTTCATTTCGTCAATAAAAACCACACATGCAGTGGTTAACTACAAGTTAACATCAGTTATGATGGACTCTACAGGTAATTTGTCATTGTGGGTTGGTAAACGTCATGCAAGCATTGACATCTACGTTGATTGGTGTAATAATTCATTGGACCCTTTTTTTGATCTTGACATGGACAATGTATGGAATCGTAGTATGGTCCCATTAATAACATGGGAAATAACTGATTGTAATCATAGTGCTGAAGACGACCCAGGAATAACGAAAAGAATTAATAACAATACTTATGATCCATATATTAATCAATTTGGTGATCGTCTGAAAAAATGGTTGGCTGGTCCTGATGGCATATATGGAACTAACGACGATAGACGTGCATTTGTGCGACTAGGTATGAAATTTAATGAAATACCATAGTCTGACAGAAAAAATATTCTTTATTTGTCATGAGAAAGCAGTATTTACATTCCTACTAGACATGCACCAAATCCGAACTGGTTCAGCATTCGATATCAAACAGTCCACGTTTAGATTCGAGTTCAGTGCATGTCTAATTCCTGATAAAGACCAACAGAAGCCGAAGCCATTTTATGAAATATGCTGTATTTGTCGGACATTTCTTTCCAATTATAAGTATTGAGTATTCGCTACGAGGATCATGACATAATGATAATCCAAAGTGTGTCACTTCAATGTTTCATAAAAAATAGATGTTTTTTCTCTCATTTTCACTCTCATTACCGACAGCATTCATTTTGTCTGTTTTAAGTAGTAGTGAAGGATGTGCAACTTGATAATATTTGAATTCTCTGCGCACCAGTCGTATAAATTTTTTCTATCAGTCTTTCCAGCATCCCTCTCGGTAGACATTTGTCTGTTTCACACCGCATCGAAAGGCGTTCTTCCTATGTTTCTCCTATTACTGTAAGTGATAATATAGCTTGTCTTTTCCGGATGGGAACAAATGGACTGAGTTCGACTATTAATTAAATAGTCGATTCTTCTTAATGAGACATAATAATAGATTGAAAAGAATGAAAATGAGAAAATTCATTTTTCTGTAGCAGCGCATACTTCACATTAAACATATTCCTTTCAACTTTATTACGACCCATCTCTCTAAATAAATGTCACCAGTCCAAAAAGCTCGCATTTTATATTTAAAAAAAGAAAACGTAAAAGAGTCTGATAATAATTCAACAAAAAAAAGTAAAATAAATGATAATTCAAACAGTATTGTAAATGGTAATACAACCAATATGCATGGCATATATCGTGATTACTGGAAACCAACAATACCATCCTATTCCGAGATGAATACAAGAACTAGAGGTGCTGTTACTATATAACCGTTTGTCAATGGGAAATATGCACCTGATCAAAGTGAAAGTTTAGAAAAACACCAAGAATCTACTTATCATAAAATAGCTATACAAATTTATCATTTAGGCAGCAAGAAAGATCAGTAGCACAGTAATTATTTAATGTTAGTGAATTGAAACGTCAAGAAAATCGTGAAGTATAGCGAAGTAATAGATAAACAAGTCTTAACAAAAATTCGTGAATCAAGAATTATTTCAATTATGATTGATGAAGACACAGATATAAACTATCATCAAAACTTATCAATTTGTATACGTTATTGTAATCAAGATACTGGCCAGTGTATTCTTGCTCTGCATTGACCTTGTCTGAAACCGATACGAGATGCATGATGCTTTTTTTAGAAAAATCTGCTTAGGTGTAATATTTGCACTTTCCAGGTGAGCCAACACAATCACATATTACTTTATTAAAAATAAAAGATAAAGATGCACAAACAATATGTGACATGATTGTTGAAGAATTACAATATCATGTGAAGATATACATGAAGTACAAGAAAGTTTATTAACGTTGAAATCATTATTCAATTTTATTAATCGCTCATCAATTAGATTAGCACATTGTAATGATATTCAAACATTATGAAAACATTCACAATTAACATTAATTTAGCATAGTGATACATTATGGTTATCATATTCTCATATTATTAATACTGTTATTCGTTGTTATGAACTATTAATGATACCATTTCAATTTTACAAGATCAATCAACAATATGAACAAATGAAGTTCGTTTAGGATAATAACTATTTTTTGATGATAAAATTGTCAAATTTATTGATAAGATTAGATTAAATATAATAGCTCAATTTGAATCAAATGTATTTAATATAATCAAACAACAGTACCATGATGATTTTAATAATGACTTATTCGCCGAATAGAAACTATTTCGCAAATATTTATTTACTCAAAAATAACAACAAACATCTACAATTTTAGCACAACGACAACAATGTATGAGAATATCAATAGAAGGACCATCTGATTTAGATAATGATCTAAAAGATTTAATTATTGATTGTTAGAACAGAAGAAAAACTGTAATGGTGTTGTAAAAAAAATGAATAAACGTCTGTGTGCCTTTGCTAGATAGAGAAAAAATGTAGCTAGGAGCCCTCCACAAATTTCAACCGCCCACCCGAAAAATTAAACCTAGACGAAACACTATAGCCGTATGAATCTAAGATTTTTATGATAGGGCATAATTTTGATCAGAAAATATGTTTCCAACTTCCTTTGAGATGGCATTTCATCACTGGATTTCGTGAGAAAGTTTTCTCAAAAAACTATCAGTGTAAGCAACAAGGTTGTTTCTATTTATAGGTCATGAAATGAATGGAAATTGGTATTCGTGGTCAACAGGTTCAACTCCAAACGATTATGTTTTGGCATGGCGTCATACTTATGATATATTATTAAACAAAGGTATAGATGCAACAAGACTTCAATGGGTTTGGAGTGTAAATCGTAAAGACTATGGTCAATATACTGCAGAAGAATATTGGGTTGGAGAAAATTATACACATTGGCTAGGAATTAATGGATTTAATGGGGGTTCAAGTGCAAATTGGAGTAAATGGGAATGGCCAAATGAAATTCTTGATAATATGATGGGTCGGTTATACAAGTTATCATCAACAAAACCGATGTCTCTGAATGCATATGCAACAGTCGGTGTACGAACAGGAAATACTACAGATGTGCAGTCAAAAAACGAATGGCTGCGCCAAATGTGTGATTATATAAATAACAATAACATTAAAATGGCATCTTATAATAATGTTGATGGACCTAACCAGGATAATATGATATTTGGTGGTACACACGGTGACGTAATTTGGAATAATTTTAAGGCATATTCAGCCTATCGAAACTGTTTACAGTCTAATGATTGGATAGAACCAAACATTACTAATCCAAGACTTATTACTGATGAACAATTTGCTGGTAGATTCTCAAGTGGAAAATACATTTTAAAGAATCAAGATACTCTAAAAATATTCATGATTTCGTCATTGATTTTTGTCTTTTTGAGAATGTGATTATTCAATAAATATTCAACTGTGGTTTTTTAAACTAGAAAATCATGGTCTGATTCATGTAAGATTGTGAGTAAAACTCGCTGAAAATGTACCAAGGAGAGGTATGTTCATATTCTAACTTTTACATCTGTTTATCTCACAGATGAATTATGTTATCATATCTCTATGATCAACTAACTATTCTCCTTTCTTTAGTTACTCTTACAATTCTCTCGTCGGTCAGTTATTATCAACAAAGAAAAATTCGAAGAACAATCCAATGGTCGATACTTGGACGTGATTGAGGAGGTTAAAAAGTGGACAACTTGTTCTTGTTGTAGTGTTTTGTTTTGATAAAATGTTATCTTGTTGTTTCTCGTTTGAATTGTTTATATTTGATGATAACCAAGTTGAGCATGCACACACGAAATGTTTATTAAGTTTATAAGTAACTACGATGTAGTTCAGGTGAAGACAAGACATCACCATGGCTATACACAACTGACCGGTCGGTTTAGAATAAATAGGAGCCATCCATTTCGTATTGTTCTTGTCTACTGATCCTTTCTGTTCATTGTTTCGTATTGAACAGAGCATATACTGTATGAAAATTTCCTTCATTTCAGTATTTGGAAATTCAGTTAACTAGTTTCAGTCGAGATTTTGAGAAAAAACAGCAAACGAAACTAGTCAGGGTAGCTCATTTTTACATATTACATATATGCTTATAAGATGCTAAAGGCTAAATATTTTCTCCCACGTTCAGAAATATATAGATGTGATTGATGCAGATCTAAGCCATCTAATGAGACTCTTGAGCAAGGTCGAAACTAGTGAAGACTTCATTTTAATCTCCATGTTTCCTTGGCTGAAGGGAGAGTGATACGAAAAAAAAATGAAAATGCGTATGTATGTATGTATATATGTTTGTCGCAGGTCAAAGGTCAGGGTTCAAAGGTTAGAGGCTAAAGGTCATTTTAAGGGTGTGGGTGTGGGTGGGTGTGGGTGTGGGTGGGTGTGGGTGTGGGTGTGTGTATGTGGGTGTGCGTGTGTGGGTGTGAGTGTGTGGGTGTGGGTGTGTGGGTGTGGGGAGGGGTGTGGGCGGGGGTGGGGGTGGGTGTGGGTGTGTGTGT